GATATAAGTTCGTTTATTCAGTTCCGAAGCATGCTGTTTTCGTGGAGTGTTAGTAATCCTACTATCCTTCTTTCCAAACAAATAGATAATGATATTCAATCTTTTATACCTACTAATTCAGAGCTGAACTCATGAACCACTGCTCCAAATTTTTGTCAAGAATCTAGACAGTTTGTTCGTAAAACACTTTATAAAGCATATATGTGTCTGGCTTCTGCTTTTGATTGTAATCACCACTATTATGGTTCATAAATTTATTTTTTAAAGATGTCATTTTGCTTCACACTCACGATATATCACTCAGTCAAACTCTGAGAGTGTGGACCATTAAATCTCTGCTCTGTTATCTAGCAGTAATAGTTTTTTGGGGGGTATGTTATGTTCTTTGAGCTGGTTCGTTTAATTGAGAACCTTTCACTTTATTTCTGAGAAAAGTTAGGGTTTACATCCCGTTAAGTTGACGTTTTAATCAATCCACAATTATCCACCCTGTTAATTTTGTCGGCAATCTGTTGTTTTCAACGGTTTTACCATCTGTTTGCCTTTGTATTTTTGTTGACCCTTGGTTCTTTGATGTTTTACGTATAAGCAGGTGAATAGTCTCCATATTTCTGTGTTTACTGACCCCACATTGACCTGATGTGATGCTTCCAAAAATCTCCCTGATCCAAGATTTCAACGTTTTTGTAGTTGAATTCGCGTCTGTTATTGACATGTTGATAACAACTCGTGTCGTTTTACTACCAATTTGTGTTCGTGTATGCGTAGACGGAGAAGGCTTCCATTCTGTCTAACAATATTTTTAATTTCTGTTGGTTTGTCAATGACTTTAATTCTGTAAGTTATCAGAATCCTCGTATTTCTCACATATGGTGGAACGATTTATTTTACGGTTTTTAGGAATGATTTTGTGCTGGTTTATCGATTTTTAGATACTTCTCTGATGAGTTTTTGTTCTTATCATGAAACCTAAAAGTTCTAAATTCCGACCATCTCTAGAACTTCGGATGTGAACTCCGGAGGAACCACTTAAACTAGGACAAAAGGATAGTATTGGTGTCTAATTTAAATTTACATACCGGCCACATTCAATTCATAGTTAGTTAGTTATTCGAACGATGATAATACATGTGTAACTAAAGCACTGGATGGTCTGTTTGTCAAAGAAGTGGAATAACGCCCACACACTCAGACCGAACGAGGTGATTCTCTTCGGGGTCAACTCCCCTAACCTAAAGGTCTAGTTCACAAAGCAGTGGAAGGGTATCTGGCGATTCGGTCTGATTGTAGAGGGTGACTAAAATGGGTTCATATGCTATTCGCTTCCTTAGGATTCTGCAACCCATGTACTCTATTAGTTCGGGATTTTAGTTTTCCAACTCCTCTAGAATGTCCGGCGCTATAACCGGATTGGTGGACATGGAAAGTTCACCTAGGGGAGTTGGAAAACCCTGATTCCAAACCAGTGGTGCACATGGGCTCCAGTATCCTGATGGAACGAATGGCGGAAGAACCTGTCATTGGTCAACGGCTACCATGGGACTGCATCTCCTCACGATGCTCCACTGCCTTGTGGATCAGACCTTTAGGTCAAAGGCTCGGGGTGTTGTCCCCTAAGAAAACCACCTGCTTCGGTTTGGGCACCCGGGCAGTATCACAGCCCACACACAAATGAATGAAATGATGAACTCTATTGACGATTCTATTCCTGCTCATATTATAAGCAAGACAATTTACATTATTATTATTATTATTATTATTATTATTATTATTATTATTATTACTTACCATATCGCTAATTCACCCCCTTTTATCCCCAATTTGTGTAACCTTACTCTTCAACTTATGCAGCAGCTCGCTCTTGGTGGAAAATCTGTCCTATCTAAACGATCTCCAGTCACTGTCTGGTTGAAAGTGAATGCTTCCACCGATAATGAATACTGAGGCAGTCTTTCTGAAACCACGTACGCCGTTCAAGCTGGCTTCCTTCAACGTTCGCACACTAATGCAGATCAGACAACAGATAGGGCTGGCTATGTCTTTGGAAGGTCTTAATGTTGACGTTTGTTGTCTATCCGAGACCCGTATTCAAGACTCTAGTGAAGTACTACAAATCCGCTCTCCATCTGTCGCCTCGAAAAGCTTGTTCCACGTACGCTTATCCGGGGACCCTGTGGCATCTTCGTCTGGTCTTGCTGGCGTTGGCGTCGCACTAAGCGCTAGGGCTGAGGCAGCACTAATCGACTGGATCCCCATTGACAGTCGGTTATGTGCTGTTAGATTAGAAAGTTCCATCAAAGTGAGAAGAAACCGGCGTGAGAAACGGTGTCTTTTCGTCATCTCCGCCTATGCTCCGACAGATTGCAGCCCGGATGCAATCAAGGATGAGTTTTACCACCAGTTAACAGTTCTTCTCCAAAAAGCGCGTTCGACAGATATTGTAGTACTACCCGGAGACTTGAATGCACAGGTCGGGCGTCTAGGTGGCCGATGGGGACTTGTTGGTCGCAGGACAGATAACGGGGACCGTTTGCTGCAACTGTGCACAGACCACAACCTGTTTCTGGCCAGCACCAACTTCCGGCACAGTCATCGCCGGTGTGCCACCTGGCGTCCTCCCTCTGCATCCCAAGCCTGGACTCAGATTGATCACATCGCGATCAGCTACCGCTGGCGTGGTTGTGTACAAGACTGCCGCTCCTTTTGGAGTACCTATCTGGAGTCTGATCATGCCCTGGTCTGCGCCAATCTCACCTTACTTTTCAGTGGCCGAAGGATTGACCACCACCAACGGATTGATATTAGTAAACTGGCTGCAACTCCTGTTGCAAGTAAGTATCGAGCGGAGCCAGCCTCTAGGCTAGCTAACACCCCACCGAAAAGTATCGATGAGCATTGGTTGCATCTTCACGACGCTATGAAAATGGCGAGTAAAGCCGCTTGCGGCTTCGCGAAACGTCCCGCTTACAAGCACTGGGTTTCTTCTGGCTCCTTACAACTGATCGTAGCCCGTCGGTCTACTCCGGGTGACCGTGAGTTTGACCACAAACAAAGGCTGTTATGTAATGAAATTGGGCAAAGCTTGCGTAAGGGCCGAGAAGCCTGGTGGTCGGAGCGTGCTAATGAGATGGAAGCAGCAGCTGCATCTGGTAACTGCCGGAAGCTCTTCCAACTCATCCGAGCCACTGGCAGAAAGAAGTCTGGTGTGAGTGAAACAACCTACGAGGATGACGGGATGCCAATCACTAACATCTCCCGACGTCTTGGACGATGGGCGGAATTTTTCGAAGGGCAGTTCAACTGGCCTGCTGCTCCGGCAACATCAACCAGCTTGTCCTGCCCCCCATGGCCGGTGACGACTGATCCACCAAACGAGGCGGAAGTCCGCAAGGAACTCCAACTCTTGAAGCGCTACAAATCACCTAGCTCAGCAAGGAGACCAACTATCTTTTGTACCTTTCTCCATTGTTCCATTCGAGCAGTGGGGTTGGGCAGGGTTGCCCGATCTCACCATTCCTCTTCAACCTTGCCATCGACGACATCCTGGAAATAGCTCTGATGGATGTAAGTAATGGCGGTGTGGATATGTTGCCTGGAGAACGACTTCTCGACCTTGAGTATGCGGATGATATTGTCTTACTGTGCGATAATGCTCAAGCCATGCAATCCGCACTTAATCAGTTGGCAATCAGTGTCCGCAGGTACGGCATGTGCTTTGCACCCTCCAAGTGCAAAGTACTTCTACAAGACTGGCAGGATTCTCATCCTGTACTCACCCTGGATGGTGAGGAGATCGAAGTAGTTGAGAAGTTCGTGTATCTAGGTAGCTATATAAGTGCTGGTGGTGGCGTGAGTGATGAGATTGATGCACGTATAAGGAAAGCCAGATCGGCTTATGCCAATCTGGGCCATCTTTGGCGCCTTCGTGATGTTAGTCTGGCTGTAAAAGGTCGGATCTACAACGCATCGGTGAGAGTAGTTTTGCTCTATGCTTGTAAAACCTGGTCTCTCCGAGTTGAGGATGTTAGACATCTCTCTGTGTTCGATCATCGTTGTCTCCGAAGGATTGCTGACATACAGTGGCAACACCATGTTAGTAATGCAGAGGTTCGGCATCGTGTGTTCGGGCACAGAGACGATAATTCAATTGGTGTCACCATCTTGAAACACCGACTTCGGTGGCTTGGACATGTTTTACGAATGTCGTCCCAGAGACTTCCACGTCGTGCATTATTTGCCGACCCTGGGACTGGTTGGAAAAAGCGGAGAGGAGGTCAGTGTATGACATGGTGTCGTGGCATGAAAGAGAGCTGCAAAGGCTAGCTTCTGTTGGTCCTTCACGACTCCTTGGTTGGGGTCCGAGAGATGGTGCAACACAGTGGCTAGAGACGTTATCAGATATGGCTCAGAATCGAAGCCAGTGGCGATCCTGCTGCAACCTTCTTTTACTTTCTACATAAAGAATGGTTCTTACTTTCCTGTTTGAAAGAGTCTTCTGGTTGTACATTTTAGTCCGCCTTATCTTTTCATCCCTTCTCTTCCTACTTTCATTATTTTGTGTGGCGCATATGTACCTGGTGCCCTTTTGTACCAATATATATGTGTTTAAATAAATAAAATATAAAGATGGATTTTTAAAATTACTTAGCTACTATACCGCTGGATATTCATTTGTTCAGACCTTGCATATCAATGATTCTTAGTTAGATAGATCTCCAGTCTGATTAAACTCTATCAAGTGACCTAATCACGCAGTTACCAAAATACCTGACGAATAACAATGTCAGTGCATCACTGCTTTGATTAATTACACCTGTTTGACGCATGTAGTGGTTACTACAATAATTTAGTGTTTTAAGTTGATTTTTTTTCACGACAATGACTGGTTCTCACTCCTGAAATACAGTAGTGATGGTAGGAGTATTGATAATTTTTATTTCCATGTGATGTATTGTATAAAACACTTTTTTATTGTTGTGTGTATTTTTTTTAAATTTTAGGCGATCGATACATATGAGAATTCCGAAAGAAACATTGCTACGCTCGATCGACAAATTAAATCACGTAAAGGTAAATTTTTCAAACATGGTCCAATTATTTCATCCGTTCAATTTACTACATGCTTTTTTGTGTATTATTATAAGTTTATGACGGACGGGTTGACTCTTCAAGATCGGTCAATGAGCATCAGCGAACAAGATGACCAGGGTTTACAGTTTGACTGTTGTTAATGTGTGTTGAAATGTTCTGCGATGAGGTTTTAGCACAAATGTGCATCAGTTGACACTGTGAGATATGAGTCAAATTATTAATGGTGTCTCTAATAAGATGAATATCGAAAATAAGATTTGCTGATGGACAAGAGAATAAAGGATTGTAATGTTTGTTTTTAGAGATTAATTTTATTTCAAATCGCCTAAAGTTGTGCAACCCTCCAGTACGATCACCTGTTAATTATCAATCAGGAAGTTTGCACCTCTCAATAAGGTTTATTAAGAAGTGCCATTCACTTCACGGAATGACGTCATGTCAGGTTTTACCCAGACTTTAGGTTCCTCCAACTTTGAACGTTTGTCATTCAGTTGAGACACATAAAATAATATTTTCCTTTTTTTTTCTTGTTTTTTTCACAAAGCTGAATTATTAAAACAACGAACTGAAAATGAAAAACTAAAAAAAGAAATGGAATTATTTTTCAAAGAGATGCATGATATGTGATGATGATGATAAGAACACTAATCTCTCTATTCATTTATGTTAAGATTATTATTAGTTTATATTGATTATTGTGTAGTTCCTCTAATACTGACATTCCATGTGTTAGCTTAATTGAAAGAAAAACAAAACAAAGCTGATTGTCTATGTCTAAAACCATAGCATTGATCTATTTTTGAGATCTGTTTCCTTTTATAAAAATTCCTTTTATAAATATTTTAACAAATTAATAACACAAATGTCTGTCAGTAAGTTTACTGAATGCTCAATTCTTTTCTTTGACTTTCACAAAGCAAAGTGTATTTTCCGTGAGAATAACAACAGTAACCATAGTCATTCCTTTGTTGTTGTTCTTTTTTTTCATTTTCACTCCTCACTGATATTCTTGTAGTTATAAATTATTTTGTAAAACATTCTTTCCAAATTATTATCATATTGACTAGTAAGATTATTTATTTTTCTTTCAAATAAACAAACATTTCGTTATAAGATTCAACTACTTGAGTTCATTTCTATTTCTTTATCTAATTGATCGTGTTTGTTAGATGTGAAATGAAAATTTTGTACTGACAACGTGGAATCTTAAATTCTAAATTCATATATATCTACCAACTAGAAAAGTAGGCATAATAACGAAGATGGATTTGGTTAGGACTAGTATGTTGGATGTGCTTTTCTCTCTATTGGAAGTCCCAAACAAATGTACCAACGCTCAGGGTTCACGTTCACTCCCGGACTATAACTTAGTAACTTTCTCTCCAAAGGTCATCTTGCTATTCACGTGGCTAGTGAGTCCAGATTGCTACTAGCTTGTGCAATAATAACGATGATATTCGAGGTAGATTTTGTCTTCTGTAAAGGCAATATTTTGACATCATAGGATGGTTATTAATTTATAAGTTATCGATATTATTTAGCGGCTATAATAAAGGCGAAGTTTAAAAGACTTCAATGATATTTCTCATTTTGCCAAAACTAACAGGCTGTACTTATAATCTGGGTTTCCGTTCAGTGTAGCGGTAAATAAATCAAAATACATAGTTCTGTAAGTTTTGGGTACGATTTGCGGCCTGTTTGAATACCTGGGTTACTTGATATTTCAACAACTTTTTTTTTGTTTTGACACATTATGTCTACTGACCTCATAAACGATTCAAGTGCGTTTATGAAAAGTTTACGACCTATCGCTGAACAGGTTACAAAAAAAGTGTAGTCAGAGGCATCGTGAGGGCTAGCATTATGCATTTAAAAGAAGGAACATTGTTCATATGTACTCTATCATCTAAGAAAAAGAAACTTTCTGAAATACTTAGTGCTGAGAATTCGCTATTGTACTAAAAATATAGCCAAGCTGTTGATAATAATAGTGACCTCACTGAATTTGTCGAACAGATCCCTACTACAAGTGCTCACCCACGCAACAACTAGTTAAATTAGATCATGCTCCTCTAGATATGCCGACTATCTATCAAATATATCTTCAAACTCTCATCCTTGATTTCTGATTTACTGGGTTTATGATAATTCGATTGCGAATTTGTTTCAAACAAAGCGTTGTCAGTACATGACTATCCGTTGCAACTTTGAGCTAGATTCTGGTAGCCTAAGGGAAATGAAATACTAAACCGTGATATTTTCGAGTTTCGACCATGTAACGTTAACATTTATCCAAAGTGCTTGGAATAAAGAGTCCATTAAATAAGATAAAACATATCTGTCTACCAGTTTAGACCAAAAGTAAACAGAATAGCTACTGAACACAAATTCTAACGTGAGTATGGATGTTAATCTCTCACTAATCCGTTCCAAACTAATCTTTTGTAAGTGGGGATTAGGTGTTGAACTACTTATCCTTTTCGATCGTGTCAATGTTCCGTTTAATAGCCTCAGTGTCACTACTTCTTGAACTCGGTCGTTGTTGTGTCTCGTGGAATCTCCAGGTCGTCGTTGGAATCAGGGATCATAGAGAACACACGACGAAAACGGTTGCAAGTGAGATCATATGCTCACTAATGACTGGCTCCATGAGGTAATTCCTGGAGTTCTAGTGAGAAGTCATGGCCGGTGGAACTAATCCATGTCAGGTAGAGACAGGTATCTACCTTAGTACAATGGAAGTTGGTCGTGCGATTTCGTGGATTGGTTGAGGTTAGACAATAACACCGCTGAATGCTAGCTCAGTGGTCTAGAGCTTAGGTGCTCTGGTGCGAGACTGGTAGGTCCTGAATTTGAATCTCACGAGGCGGGATCGTGGATGCGCACTGCTGAGGTGTCCCGCAATAGGACGAAACGGCCGTCCAGTGCTTTCAGGTTTTCCATGGTGGTTTAGCTTCAGTTGACTCATGATCTTAACTATATAAAATCATGCCAGTTTTGTATCAATTAATGAGTTCTGTGTAATTGTTGAGTAAGCAGATAAGTGTGCCATTATTCTTTTATTAGTTCTGGTTTGGTAGTTCAATTGGTTTAATCACACCATATCTAATTCTGTCTCCTGTAATTTTCATTAGACACCAATATCCCTAAGGGGCTAGATTTTACACATAAACTAGATTATGACTTGGTCTGCTCTGAAACTTTTTCACCTACCTAGCTTGCCAATTTAAAAGTCCTATGTAACTCCATCTCTCCACATGATTAAATATACCCTTTCTCTGAACTACTATTGAATTCCTTGTGATGTTTCATATGAACTATTGATTCTTTTCCACTTGTTGACTGCCTGATTTCGAATTCCAAATACAACACGTTCGTTTGTGCTCATCTAGTTCTGTGAGGTCTAAATTGTGCTATTTCTTGGATAACTAGTTTGTATAATAATTCAAAAACTTCTACTCGTCACATTGGTGTCGCGATGAAGCTTGTGATCGAACAGTTGGACAGACATTCGACTGTTGATGCTTTTGAGGATTATATGGAAAGGTTCGAAATCTGGACTATGACCAAGATGTTAATATTGTGGCTCATCTCCTTAAATTCATCGGAGAAGTAGCCTACAGCTTGGTAAAAACTTCAGCATTTTCAGATAAGCCTATTTCACTTCCTTATGCAACTCTCAAGAAACTACTACTAGACTAAGTAAAGTGTACAAATTTCGAGTGCAGTATAGAAGGCAAACGTCACAAAATGATTCGACGAGACATCAAAGACTCCACCACATTACTACGTCATCCAAATCCAATGCATACTCAAGGTTATGCAGATATCAATTCATTGAGGAGTTGCGATACAGGTCACGAAGATGAGCACAACTTTGGTAAATATTTGTTCTGTGGCAAGTTTCACTAATTTAATTCGTGTGTATTTTGTAATTCTAAATGCTTTAACTGTGGTAAGATTGGACACATTCAACCAGTTTGTAAAACTACTGTTTATTTCGCTGCAAGTAGTGCTAAACTCTGTATTTCCGATCCTATTAATTTGCATGTTTCAAATGAATCACATTTATGGTATTATTTTACCAGATGAGCGTTGTCCTCATGATTCATGTATTTCTAGTGAAATTACTTGCAAATATGTGGAAGATATATCGAGTGCACGAAATCCTGATCACAACTCTGATGTTATTTTATCAGATGTGGTTTGTTTTAATAATTTATCTATTCCTAGTGAGATCTCAATTACATGTGAGGAACAGGTTTTAAATGAGTTACAATTTGATTACAGTCCTTATAGTGTCGTATCAGGTGTTATTTGTCTTCATAACGGGTTTGTCTCTAGTGATATTCCTAACGAATGTGACAAATATGTTCGGAATGAGTCGAATTCCAGCCAGACTTCTGATATCACCGTATCAGATGTTGCATATTCTCACAACCAATGCATGTCCAGTAAATGATTTCATATGAACTGATTTTTATACTTATAGCAAAGTCACTTTTAATGAATCCTCTAATCAATATGAGAAATATGGATGTGAAGATCCAACATTATTTTGTGTGGAGAATGGTGTTGGAAAATCTATAGTTCAAATTATAGATATCAATGATTTCAGTACACAACCGACATGATGAACATATACAATTCCAGGATCCACGTGATTCCGTTTCAATTTTAGTTGGCAATTATAATACTAATGAGTACATTCTAGATAACACAGGGTTGGCATCCAATGCACAATTTGACAGGCATACAACAAACTTCAGGAAATGATATACGATGGACTACGGAAACGTAAATTCTAATTTCAGCTGTGGTTTTCGTATGAACTGGTAATTCCTTTGTACTTGTTGATTGTCTGATTTCGAATTCCAAATGCAATAAGTTCGTTTGTTCCCCTTTACTTCTATTTGTCCCTAATTAAATTATTTCTGTGATTCTTGTGATAATCCGAACACTTCTACTCATCACATTCCTCCTTATTTCTCTCTGACAAATTAAGTAGTAAATTATTTGGTCACCAGTATTTTACGTCATTGCCCTTTCCAGAGTATCTTCGATAGTTTGAGAACAAATAATGGCTTTCTAGAAATTTTCAATCTTATTGAACCAATAAAATGAGTATAATTAGCTCATGCATAACCTTTCATAGTAGTAGTAGTAGTGGTAGTGAGCCAATTTCCAAATCAAATAGTTTGTAAGTTTTCGAGGTTTACATTGTCGATTTCACTGAAAGCATCCCGAGATACAGGCTTTCGATCAAGCACATTCAGCACGGTAAAAAACTTAGAGCATTTCGAAGCCTCCCACCGTTTGGTTTTAAGGACCTTGAATAGCGTGACAAGGGGAAGTCATTCGGTATTTGAGTTGTTGAGGGTTACAAATTGTCACAAAAAAACCAACTTAGGATTGCTAAACATTCCCCCAGGTTGTGAGCAACAAATATGTCAAGCTGATAATAGACTGGAATAAAAGCTATGTAACAAGCACAAGGATTACGAAAATTGACGTGTTACGGGAAAAATGCTGCGAATAGCTTATTAATAACGGCATCACAAATCCTCAACAACATGTAATACGTGAGCAAGAACCAGTGGTTTGACTTTTCGACAATGCCAGCACAT